AGGGGGGAGGGATAGGGAGTTGAAGGTGAGGTGGAGGGGGGGTGTCATGTGGGGTCACTTTTTTTGGCTTGTCAGGTACCTGGCTGTACCGGCCTGAGAGGCCGGACATCTTTTTTCTGAGGTGGCCAAGTCTGCCCAAGGCCACACCGTGGACTTGGCCGGAGAGTTTCATTTTGGATCTAGGGCCAGGTCAGACTCTAGATCTTTTCCGTTTGTTTGTTTGCCCAAGGCCACCGGGGGGGAGGTAACGAGTGAAGGAGGAGTCGGCAAATAAGAAGAAGGAAAGAACACCAAGGGACGTGCCTGGTGGTATGTTCTATTTGAATAGAACACCCGTCTTTTCGAATAGAACATATGTGCGTACTATTCGGATAGAACATATGCGCGTACTATTTGAACGTGCGTATTATTTGGATTTCTGGGGGCGACTTCGAGAAATCGACTTCTCCAGGAAAAGTTGATTAGTACATACGTGCGTTTTGTTGGGGGGAAGACTGTAGGACTGAGGCCGAATATTGGTGCGTTGGGCCAGGCTGGGCACATTCTGTACTAGCTGCTCGCAGGCTGCCGGAGAGCATCGCTGTGTGACAGTAGGAGCTGGGCTTAGAGATAGGCTGAGAGCTGGGGTGTAGGGGGACTGGTGGTCTGAAGAGAGGGAGATGGTACTTGCCTGGCTTCATAGCTAGAGCTTCCAGTTGAGGCCGGACTGCAACTTGTTACATGCACGGCATCAGCAGTTCAAGGCATCATCTTTTGCCGGTCACACAAAGAGAGAGAGAGAGAGAGAGAGAGAGAGAGAGAGAGAGAGAGAGAGAGAGAGAGAGAGAGAGAGAGAGAGAGAGAGAGCTCTTCTTCTTCCTCCTCACTTCTTCTTGTTCATCTTCCTCCTCCTGCTTCTTGTTCCTCTTCTTCCTCCGTCAGTTGTGTATGGTTGAGCTTGAAGGCCTTCTATGTATGTTCCTCCCTGCTAGTGCGCGTGTTTATCCTCTGCCCACAGTATCATCTGGGTGCCCGTCTTCACCTGAATAGAATGCCCGGCCGGTCATTTTATCTATATTAGGGGCAATTTCCAGCCTAGATCGGCTGAAAAGACGGTAGGTCTGTGCATTTGATTTAGTCTTCCGCTTTGTCTTTCTTCGCACCCTTCCTATAGGATTGGGCTTGGCTTTCCAGCAAGTACGAACCGTAAGAAGAACCAAAGTGACGAAAGACAAAACAAAGGACTGCACAGGAAAGGCGAAAGAACGGTGTCAGAGCTGCTTCATGCTGTCTGCTATTTTCTTCATGTGTTTCCAAAGTGCACTCTTTTAGTTGACTTGTGAAACAAACAAGAAAGTACCAGACAGCACATGGAGCACTCTGAAACCATTCTTTTGCCTTTTCCTGTGCATCGTGCAGTTCTTTATTTGCTTTCCTTACTTTGGCTTTCTTTGACGGTTTCTCCCTGCAATCAGCCGAGGAGGAGGGGCATCCTACCTACAATATACAATGGGTCAGGAGTTCACAGCATCTCGGTCTCATTCCTCCCTCCCGTGCCGTGGGCTGCCGCTGGCTCCTCTCGTGTCCCTCGGTGCTTTCCGTCCCTTTGCTTGGCTGAATGGTATGCCATCCCGCCTTGGGCTTGTACGGCACACCCATTACCCACTTGTGGGGGGTGATCCTGCCAGTAGTCATTTGCTTGTATCAAACTTAATCAAAGACTAAGCCATGCACGTCTAAAAGATAATAGTAATAATATTAATATAATTAATAATAATAATAATAATAATAATAATAATAATAATAATAATAATAATAATAATAAAATAAAAAAAAGAGCCATGCACGTCTAAGTTTGACAAAGTTTGAACATTACAACTTCCGAAAAACCGTTGACTGAAAAGGGGCTTAAAAAAAGAAGTCAAAATCGGCGCACTTAACAGCC